GCCCCTGAATGCAGTCTGCAGATGAGTAAATAATAAAGTAATCCCAGACCAAAGAGAAGCCTGCAGCTCTGTTCCTCTAAACCTACAGAGCTTTCCCACTGGCTGATAGTGGATTACACTAGCTACAACCTACTAGAAAGACCAATAAGGGGTAAAATAAGATGAGTTACATAGACCCAAACACAGGTAAAGATCGCACAAGATCTTATTCTATTTTTCTTTGACCTAAATGTGTTTGGGTGCAGAGCAGAAGAACTCTTTGATGGGGAAAGGAAGGCAGTGAAATAATCTAGTCCCTTTTGGAAGTAATGACTGTTTTGTCATAACATTTGAGCCCAGTGTAGAGGGATCTCTTCCTGGCAGTGGGGAGAGAATGAGTGCAAGGATGCCAGCCTCTCCTTTCCCTCTGGGGTCAGTGGAAACACAAGCATAAACTAGCTGTGCACCCCAGACAAGCCATTTAACCCTCTTTGCCTCATTTCCTCATCTGAAAAATGAACTGCAGAAAGAATTTTGTGTTTTTTTTTTGTTTTGGGGGGCCATTTATTTATTTATTTATTTATTTTCGGCAACTGGGGTTAAGTGACATGCCCAGATCACAGCTAGTAATGTCATGTGTTTGGTCTGGGGAGAAGGAATTTTAGCAAACCATTCCAGTATCTCTGCCAAGAAGGTCCCAAATGGTGTCATGAAGACTTGGACCCAACTGAAAACTACTGAATTACAACAAAATCTGACAACATTCCTTTAAGAAAAGTACTATCAGAATTATTTACTCCATTTTAGAGGTGAGAAAACCGAGGCACAGAGGAATGAAATGAGTTATATGGCTAGCCAGGGTTGAAGGCACAATTTGAAAGCAGATCTTTCTGATTCCTGGTTCTTTATTAACTTTATGGGAGTTGGTCTGCAATGTGATTTGCAATTCTATTCTACACTCTGGGGAATTATACTATTGCTAATAAGGAGAAACTCAAGTGATTAACAATCAATTTTGGGAACTATAGGGCACTCCTAGACCTCCAGGAGAAAGAGGTCCCACCCCACATTTTTAATTCTACCTATGTGACCACTGCAAAGTCATTTCAGTCCCCCATCCTCAGCTTCTCCACCCATAAAATGCAAGAGGCCCATTAGCTACTATGTAGCTCCAGGGGTAGCCTCTAAGTTCCCTCCCAGACTTACTTCTATGCTCCTTGGCAGGTGTTCTTAAGAGATCAGGCTGGTAGCTCTTTGATCATGGGCAACTGCCTTGTGTTTTTTAGGCATATTTCCCTCCATTTGTAAGATAAGAGAACTGGAGACCTATAAAGGTCTCCTGTTTTCCATCTATAAGTCTGGAGGTGGACTAATCCCAAGAGGATTATTGGATGAATGATCCCTTTCTCTGTCCCACTAGGACTGTCATGGACTCAAAGCTAGAAGGGACCCTCAAAATCATCTTGTCTAACCTCCTCATTGTTGAGAAAACAGTGGCATAGAAGTGAAATTACTTGCCCAATGTAACATAGATGACCTCTCCCATCCTTCAGTCCCTCTTCCCAGTTTTTTTCCTATTGAAGACTAAACTTCCTTTCATCCATCTAATTGGGTGTCCTGCCCTGAATCTTTAACACATATTGGAGCTTTGATTTTCATGGAAATAGGTCACAGACCACATGACTAATCATTTAGGAGGCAGTTTAGTGCAGGGGAAAGAGCACCAGATGTGGAGTCAGAAGACTTTCCTTCAGATCTTAGTTTTGGCACTGATTACATCTGTGTCCTGGGGCAAGTTTCTCCTTCACAGAGTTCTTTAGTTTTCCTGGAGAAGTGCTGAAGTACAATAGGAAGAGAACTACATTGGAAATCAGACCAAATCTGAATTTTGCAACTCATTAATTCTATGATCTTGTAAAAGTCACTTAAACTCTCTGAGCCTCAGTTTCCTTCTCTGTAAAATGAGTGATTTTTAGATGTTGCTGTTGTTGAATTGTTTCAGTCATACCCAACTCTCTGTGACCCAATCTGGGGTTTCCTTGACAAAGATACTGGAGAGGTTTGCCATTGATTTGGGATAGATGACACTTATGGTCTCTCCAATCTCTGAGTATGTAATCAGCTGAGAAAAGATATTTAAAGCATTGTGCAAACGACTATGTAAATGTTAGCTGTTATAAGTTTTACTTCTTATGTAAATGATGAGCTTTTCAAATACATTAGGCAGCTCTGAAAGACCAGGAATCTCTCATTCCTTTTATTCCCACCATGGACAGTGCTGCTCACTCTACACTGGCTTAGTTTCCAGCCAATCTTCTAACCAGAGGTTAGGGCACTAGGGGAGGGAGAGCAGGTGGGGTTCAGGTAAGGAAGGGAAAGTAAGAATGTTGACTCCTAAGTTTTTTCCTCGCTTCCACTAGTATTAGGGGGCCTGCTTCCCACTGTCTCTGGCAACAGGGTCAATACAAGAAGGCAAAATCTGAATTCCCAGGGTACACGTTTTATTTGTCTCATCCCTTCCCCTAGCCAGAGCAGACTTTGGGGTTTGTTCTCATGAACACATACCCAAGAGGGAAATCAGAGGAAAAGGAAAAGATGGTAATAAGAGAGAAGCAGTGTCCGATAGACATAAGGAGAAGAGGTAAAAATTGTGACATAGTAATGCTATTATATAAGCATAAGAAAAAGAGAGCTGAGCACCCAGAGCAGTATGCCTGATGGACATTGGTCCTCGCCTATCTGAACAGTGAGTATTCCTGCAGGCTCACTCACACTCCTGAGTCTCTAACAGAACACATCTGTGCATGTGTTCTGTGACCACAAAAACAGAGGGCTCTCCCAAAGACACCACAATGAAATCAGAAACCCACATCATGGATCATGGAGGGGGAAAAAGATGGTAGCAAACAGTCCTGGTGTAGTAGCACTAAGGATATCTTGGCCACAGGGCCTCTAAAGTCCCCAATATGTTATCCTAAGATGATATAGAAGACTTTGAAAGTCCAGGCCTTTGAACTTCAAAGATCCAAAGGGAAGAGGCCTAATCTAAGGCGGTACAGTTCAGAACAGGATCAGTAGCTACTGAGGTTGGAATGACATAAGGCTGATTACTGCCTTTGTCTTCCTTCTCTCTTATTCTCATCTTTTTTCCTTTCCTCCAATTTCCCTATTGGGTATGTCATTCATGAGAACAAACCCCAAAATATTTAATAGTTGTTTTAATATTTTTTTAAATTACATGTAAAAACAATTTCTAACATTCATTTTAAAGTTTTGAGTTCCAAATTCTCTTCCTCTCTCCCCCTCCCCGTTACTGTGAATTCAAGGTATCTAGGGAGAGTTAAGAAATTGAAAGAGAAAAGCAAAAAGTTACCAAAGGACCTCCAACCTAATTTAACCAGATTTTTAGTTTTCAATAACTCCTCACCAAGCCTTTGAGTGATCAGGTCAAGGGAATTACTCATTTGGCCAATTGGGTGGCCTGGGCTAATACTAACATCAGCCAAGTCTTTCCCTAGGCTAAGGTCAAGCAAAGGCCCTCAATTTTATGGGCATTTGGACTCAGGGCCTAGACTGGACAGGGTGTCCAACGTGAACCCAAGAGGACTCATCAGGTTCTTACTCTGTTCAATGTGATCCCATGCTGGTCAGGTCTTGTCCATTTGAATTCTAAAATCATAGAAACTTACTCAGCTTCCACGATCTCAGAGAACTCTGGGGTATAATTTGCAGTGACCACAGGAGAATCCCACTTCTGACACCATATTGCTGTTTTTAAGAACAAACCCCAAAATCTCAAAAAGTTTTAGAAAGAAATTTATTGGGTTATTTGGTAGAGGAGAACATGCCAGAAAGGAGGTGTAGATCCCCCTCATCCAGGCTCTGGAAGGTTTACATTGTATATGATTCAGACAAAGGTACACACGCACAAAACACATGTACACAGTGAAGTGATTTTGCTGAACGGGGAACTTGAAAGCAAGGTAGGTTGAGATGGAAAGGAATAAATGTAAACATTCAATGAAATGTGGGCAAAGTCAAAACACAAGCTGGAGTACACTCAAACAAGACCTGGTTGTGGAGACGCAACACAAAAATGGTTTAGGGGGTCCAGTAATTGGAGGACTCCAAAATTCCTTGTAGCCGTCTCTGAAATTCCTGGAGAGTTATTGAGGTCAAAGAGACATTCCAGATTCATCTAGTTAGATTTAAACACTATAATAATTAGTACATTTTATTAACAATGTAATAAAGAATCCACAGGTGAAATGGATTTCTGTACCCAGCAGTATGTATGTGCATCTTTCCCACCTTTGTCCAGGTCAGACAATAATGAGGTTAAAATACTACCTGCTGTCCCCTTTTCCAGCAGCCCCTTCATCATTAAGGCATCTACTTGGGCGCCATAATTGTATGAGACAATTTTGTCCATTATTCCTTTCCCTTTGCCCTCCTCCCTTCACCAGTGTACCCTTCTTGTGTTCCTTGTCCAGTATTCATTTTTGTTCAGTCTCTTCAGTCGTGTCCAACACTCCATGGTCCCATTTAGGGTTTTCTTTTTAAAGATACTGGAGGGCCATTTCCTTCTCCATCTCATTTACAGAGGAGGAAACTGAGAGAAGCAGGGCTAAGTGACTTGCCCGGGGTAACACAGCTAGTAAGTGTCTCAGCAGGATTTGAATTCAGGAAGATGAGCATTCCTGCCTCCAGGCCCAGCACTGTATCCACTGTGCTACCTATCTGCTCTATTCTTCATTTAAGATCATCAAAAGATGAAATCACTACTCCCATGACCTCTGTGTCATTAGATTCCCTGGATGATGTGTGATGACAGAATTCTGAGGGGATTGAGTCATCTTTGCACAAAAGAATGCAAACAATTCATCTGTGTTTCCAGACTGACAGCTCATATTTACTTGCTCCAATACAATACATACTTCTTCTTCTTCTAGGTAACATCCGTGTTCAATTCTTTGGAACTATAGTGTTCCAATTTCATGACCATACAATACAATACTACTGGTATTAAAAAGATGAGATGCTATTTCTAGGAAAAGTTAGGGGACGTTGAAAGAGCTTTCACAGCTAGATAGGAGATACCTCAGAGACATTTATTCCAAACAATTTCTGACAAGAATGCCTTCCATCCATGCCTAGCATCCCTAGCAGGTGACCGCCAAACTTGTCCTAATACCCACAGTTACATCTCCTCCCCCATAACACTTTGAGGCAGCTCTAATTGGACTATCTTTTCTTACTATTTATATACCAAGACTTAATCCAGTAATTGGCCACTGTAAGCAACAAATGATTTTGCATTCTTCCATTTCTGATATATCAGCCATAGGATACTTTCCCAAATTCATTACATTTAAAGGGGGTGGGTATTTTCCAAGAAGAATCCTTTCCTATTTAAAAGCAAAAGAAGGCATCCCCATATTTTTTAGGCTTTCTTCTCTCCAGTATGAATTACATAATGTCCTTAAAGGCTGAGCTCAGAATGGAGGTTTTCATTATACTAATAAGGTCTCTATCCAGGGTGAATCTCCAGACGTACAATAAGGTTTAACTATTCAGTAGATGCTTTTCCACACCCTTTACTTTTCCACATTCTCTCCATTATGTTTCCTTTTGTGTAAGATCAGGAGGACCTTTCTCATAAAGGCTTTCCCACATTCACGGCATTTGTAAGGCTTCTCTCCAGTGTGTGTCCTCTGATGGCGTATCATGTTGGATTTTTGATTGAAAGCCTTCCCACATTCATTACATTGGTAAGGCTTCTCTTCAGTGTGAACTCTCTGGTGTTTAATAAGGGTGGAGCTCTGAGTGAAGGCTTTCTCACATTTATTACATTCATAAGGCTTCTCTCCAGTATGAATTCTCTGGTGTTTAACAAGTATTGAGTTTTTAGGAAAGGCCTTCCCACAGTGACTACATTTATAAGGCTTCTTTCTATTATGAGATTTTTTATGTGAAAGAAGGGTTGAGCTCTGACTGCAGACTTTCTCACATTTCTCATTTTTAGAAGGTTTCTCTTCAGTATGAATTTTCTGGTGCTCATTTAGTGTTGAGTTTTTACGAAAGGCTTTCCCACATTCACTACATGTATAAGGCTTTTCTCCAGTATGAATCATCTGATGGGAAATAAGGGTTGAGCTCTGACTAAAGGCTTTCCCACATTGCTCACATTTATACCGCTTCTCTCCAGTATGAATTCTCTGGTGGTTGAAAAGAGTTGAGTTTTGATTAAAGGCTTTCCCACAAGTATTACATTTATAAGGCTTCTCTCCAGTATGAATCTTCTGATGTTGAATAAGGTTTGATCTCTCCACAAAGGCTTTCCCACATGTATTACATTTATAAGGTTTCTCTCCAGTATGAATCCTCTGGTGTTTAATCCGGGTTGACCTCTGACTGAAGGCTATCCCACACTCATCACATTTATAAGGCTTCTCTCCAGTATGAATCCTCTGGTGGTTGGAGAGGGTTGATTTTTGAGTGAAGGCTTTCCCACACTCATTACATTTATATGGTTTCTCTCCAGTATGAATTCTCTGGTGTTTGAAAAGGGTAGCATTTTGAGTGAAGGCTTTCCCACACTCTTTACACTTATAAGGCTTCTCTCCAGTATGAATCTTCTGATGTATATGAAGTTTTGAAATCTCAAAGAAGGCTTTCCCACATTCCTCACATTTATAACGTTTCTTTCCAGCATGAACCTTCTGATGTTGAATAAGTCTTAAGTTGTCAGTGAATATTAAATTACATGCATTACATATATAAGCCTTCTTAATAGCAGGGATTTCCTGACGTTCAGAAGAGTGTGAATATTGAGGGGCTGCTTTCCCGCGCTCCTTATGCTTATAAGTTTTGCCTCTAGCTTGAATCTTCTGGCGTTTGGTGATTTTTCTCACATCACTCTCCTCTTTTACTTCTTCACTTTTTACCTGGCTCTCACTTTCACCCCATTTCCACAAAGAGAAGTAATCAGCAACACTGCCAAGTCTTTCAATCTTCACTCCATGGGAAGATCCCTCCTCTGGCTCATTCTCAGTCTTGATCTTGGATTCCAAATCTGAAAAACAGTAATATAAAGAACAAATGTCTGATATATATCTAATATAAAGTACAAAGTTTCTTAGTTTTGAGAGTGGAAACTAGGATGAAGTGATGCCACTGCAAATGGTACCTAAAGAAAGATAGCACCTGGTGCAAACATATTTTGAAATCTCCCTTTTAGTATCTCTAGAAGTATTGAAAAATAATATTTTCCCTAGTCTAATAACCCTTTCCAGACTCTTCCTTATTTGAAAGTATGTAGAAGACCAAGAACACAGGCCTTTCTTAGGGAATGAATTAAAGGTAGTAACAAATCTTTAAATAAAAGTGATATATTATCTTTTTCAAGAAATCATTGGCCATCCCTTCAATGGACTATGATATGACCCACCTAGAATCACTTTCCTTGTTTCCATTCAGAAGGTAATGTTATTGACCAGGAGGAGGAGGTCTCCTTGGTTCTGAAGGAGGTCCAAAACACTTGAGGGGATGGGTTACTTCAAAGCAGGCTAAGTCGAAGACTCCCAGGACTCCTTCTCAACCTGTGACCCAGGGGCCTCCTCACAGTAGACGGTGCCCTGAACATTTTGACCCCAACTCTTTTTCTCTACCTCGTGAGTTCCTCACCAGCATCTCCATTTGAGAAAGTACCCACAGTGGCCATGATCACTTTACACCTGAACACCCCTGTGTATTTCTCTACCTTGCTCATTCGGGTTCTTCTCTCCCCAACATTGAAACAACCTTTTTATATGTTGACTCTCTTCATTGAAATGTAAGCTCTTTAAGAGTTGAAAATTTCTTTATTTGTGCTTTTTTAAAATTTTCATGGTGGAGTATTTCTCACTCTCCCCTGGTTTTCCTCCAACCTGTCTCCCCACACTTTTTTCTCCTTTGCTGGATCCTCCTCCACATCAACCCCTTTAAACTTAGGTGGCCCTCAGGGCTCTGGCCTGGGCCCTCTTCTCTTCTCCCTCTATACCTCTTCACTTAGTCATCTCAGAAGCCTCCATGGATTTAATTACCATCTCTGTGTTGATGATTCTGAAATCTACCTTCCCTGCCCAACCTCTCTACTCACCTCCAATCTTGCATCTCCAACTGCCTTTCAGACATCTTGATCTGGATGTTCAACAGACATCTACTCAGTATGTCCAAAACTGAACTCTTTGTCTTTCCCTCTAAACCCTTCCCCCCTCCTACCTTCCCTATTACTGTAAAGGGTAACACCATCCTCTGAGTCTGTCAGCCTCACAACCTAGGAAGTATCCTGGACTCCCTCCTTTTTCCCCTCCCCAATATCCAAGCTGTTGCCAAGGCCTGCAAATTGAAACTTAGCAACTCTTAAATATGCCCCCTTCTCTCCTCTGACATGGCTCCCACCCTGGTCCAGACCCTCATCACCTCACACTGAGACTATTGCAATAGCCTGCTGGGGGAATCTCCCTGCCTCAAGACTCTCCCCCCTCTAGTCTGTTTTCCATTCATCCACTAGAGTGATTAGGCTAAAATGCTGGTCAGATCATGTCACCACTCCTCTCCCACTTCAATATACTCCAGTAGCTCCCTATTGCGTCCAGGGTCAAATACAAATGCTGCTTGGCATGCAAAGCCTTTCATCACCTTCCCATCTTCCCAGTCTTCTGCCACCACGTATTCTGTGACCCAGTGACACTGGCCTTCGCACTGTTCCACAAACAACAAAATCCTCTCAGCTCCATGTATGTTCTCTGGCTGTTCCCCATACCTAGAATGCTCTGGATCCTCTGCACTGCTGATCTCCCTGTCTTCCTTTAAGTACCAGCTAACATCCCACCATCCTCAGGAAGCCTTCTCTAACCCCTCTTTATATCCATGCATGCAGGAGGCATGTAATAAATGTTTATTCATTCATTCACAGTCCCTCTTCCAGGCACATAGTAAGCATTTAATATGAGTCTATCTATCAAGGGTAGAACAGAACAAATGACTCTTGTTTGGTAATGTAAACACAAAAATGTGTTTTAAATTAATTTGTTTTGTTTGCTTAAGATTACTCTAAATGTTACCACAGATTTTGTTGAGCAAATGAAGAATGTCTGAGGGCACTGGGGTGAGAGTGGGGTAGACTATGGCAGTTTAAATGGCTTTCTGTCACAGAGAAATTACTTCAATTTAGAATTAGTTATTCAGTGGTTCCACTGACGTCCAACTCTTTATGACCCCATTTGGGCTTTTTGTGGCAGAGATACTAGAGTGGTTTGCCATTTCCTTCTCCAGCTCATTTTATAGATGCGGAAATTGAGGTAAACAGGGTTAAGTGACTTGCCCAGGGTCACACAGCTAGGAAGTGTGTAAAGCCAGGTTTGAATTCAGGATGAGGAGTCTTCCTCACTTTAGGTCTAGCACTCTAACCACTGCACCACCCAGATGCCTAATTGATTTAGAATGAGATGAGATTAAAATAAAATGCTTCTGGCATGGCAGCCATGCATAAAATACAGTGACATATAGCTATAGACATATTGTTCTCTATGCATACGTAGTTATACATCTCTATTTAGGTATCTATACATAGATATATATACTCATGTATAGATATATAAACATATATTTTGTATGTATCTATGTGTTTATGGGCCTATGTATGTTTGGGTATATTTCTAGAAAAGAACCCAGTATACTTCTTAGCTGTTTGGACTCACTGGTCCTAGTGAATCATAAGAAAAATAATAATATCTGACATATTCATGGGGCTTTTAAGTTTTGCCAAGTGTTTTCCTTCAATTGATCATGGCAGAAATCTTACAAACAGGTACAATGGGGAAAGATGACTTTATTTTACCTGTAAGGGCTAGAGAGAGGCTCATGGTTTCAAGGTCTTTCCCAGAGCCACAGGTAAGTTAACGATAGATTACACTAATTTGGGACTTTCTGGGTACTGAGGGCTTTCAGCCTAGGACTCTGGGGTAGAGTGGTCATTATTATCCAGCCCATTTTTCATAAGACACCTGTATGAACTCTGTCTACAGCTTCCAGATATTTCTGCTACCCTGCGTAATCAATTTCTGGGTTTTAGGGTGCCAAGAAGCCACAAATGTAGAGTTAGGGCCACAGGGGAAGCATAGTACAGGATATTTATCACAAGCATTCTGTCAGGTGTCGGGGAGGGGGGCTCTCATGGCATTAGCTCTTACTGAATAGATATCCCAGTGACTTGTATGCTGAATGACAGAGTAGGGTATTGGATAAGCAAAAAGATCAACAGATATCTTTAGTGGGCAGGTTATATATTAGACCATCTAAGGCAGGAAGTATAGAGAAAAGGAGAGAAGGAACTAGGAAAGGACCTTGAGGGATACTCACCTTAAGTGTTTATTGCATGGCTAATGATTGAAGTAAAATAGACTGGAGGGGAGGGAGGGATGGAGCAAGCATTATTGAGCATCTAAGCTGGACAAGTCACTTCATGCTGTCTGCCTCAGTTTCTTCAGCCGCAAAATGAGTTGGAGAAGGATATGGCAAAGCCCTCCAGGATCTTTACCAAGAAGACCCCAAATGGGGTCATAGAGAGTTAGACACCACTGAAATGACTGAACTACAACAACATGTGGGAAGCACTGTGCTAAGTAAGCCCTTTTATGATCTCAATCCATGGAGGTAAGTGCTTTTATTATCCCCATTTACACCTAAGGAAACTGAGGCAGTGGTTAAGTGTTCTGCCCTAAGTGTTTGAGGACAGATTTAAACTTAGTTCTCCCTGACTACAGACCGCAGTGCTCTATCCATAGAGTCACTGAACAGTTACTCTTGAAAAGTGCCAAGCCAGGTCAGAGAAAAACCAAGAGAGAATAAGGTTGCAGAACTCCCAAGAGGAAACCATATGTGGGCTCAGAGTGAAATGTACCACCACAAATGCTACAGAGAGGTCAAGAAGGAGTCCTGAGAGACATGCCATGAGATTTGTCACATCAGAAATTGTTGGGGGTGGGGGGCATATATTCTCACGTGACAGAAGAACTCAGCTCCTGCATCCCAGAAATGGAGATTTCGAAGTGACATGAGCAGCCTTTAAGTGAAAGAATACCAGAAAGGAATCTCCATCATCACATGCCCCAAAGGTGGGCATATAGCTTCTACATGAAATCTTTCGAAGGAACCTCCCACCTTCCAAGCGAACCCAATCACTTTATAGATTACTACAAGTTTTAGGAAGCTTGTCATGAATACATTTTAGGGTTTTTTTTCATTTGTTTGTTTGTTTTGCAAACTCCATGAATTATTCCTACCCTCTAGAGCTAACAATCAAATTAAACCCTCTTCCATGTGACAGCCCTTCCCATATGTGCAGGCAGCTCTTTTCCTCATAAGTCTTTTCTCCAGGCTCTAAGTCCCTGCTTCCTTCAACTAATCCCTCACATGATAAGAATTCAAGACCCTTCAGCATCTTCCGAGCATTCTTTTTATTCAGGGAATCCAGCACTGAACACAATAGCCAGATGAACTCTGACAAGGCCAGAGGACCCAGGCTCTATCTGATCCCTACTCTTAGAAACCATAGCTCATGAAGGCTGAGGTGGCATCAGCATTTGGGCTCTTAGTTCACCCTGCTGATTCAGACTGAGCTTGTAGTCCCAGATACTTTGAAAAACATTGTTGTCTTTGATCTCCTGTGGAATTTCCCCCAGTTCTCTAGCATA